CTCTTATAAACCCTCCTAAAAACTTACAGGAAGATTTTCAGTCATTTTTCAGGCTCAGGCCATTTCACTTCCAGCACTATTCCATGTTCCTGCGGGATCATTGTCCCTGCACAGTTGTGGGATTACAGGTGTCTGCTCTCAGCAGGGTGAGCCCAAGCTCTGCCTCCCTGGGAACAGCTTTAGCCAAGGCTGGGAGAGAAACACTCCCAAAACTCCTTGTCAGGACAAGGATTTAAACACACCTGGTGAGTTATTACTATTGGAAGTGTATTCCCATATTTCCCCAAAGGACCAAACAGAGCCCTAAAGCACAACCCAAGAATGACTCTGGATCAGTAATTTTGTTTTAATTTTAAGGAAAGATATAAATCCAACAGATTTATTCTGCATTTTTAACGTGTTTCTCTGAGAATGATCCACCACATCCCACCACAGGTAACTTATTTATCCTCACTGCAATAGAGCATAATGATAAATCCCCTGTTAAAGCTCTTTGCAGAGAGAAAAAAAAACATTTTTCCCTAACAAAGCATTTATTATCCCTGTTATTTATGATTTCTGCTGCAACTTTCCTGCTTTAATGTTCTCATTTTCTCCTTGTAAGCATTTTCTCTGGGGGGAAAACACCTCCTTCCTGCAGTGGCAGAAAGGGAGCAGTGTCCTGGGAAAAGGGGCATCCCAGGGAAGGCTGAGCTCAACCCCCCACCTCACCCACAGCTGCACCCAGCAAACATCACCTCAGAAAGCACATTTTTGGGCTGACACCTGGCTCTGGATGCAGCTCCTAAATATCAATATCTTCCCTGACTGCCTGACAGCAGGGAAAACTGGAATTCATCTCTTTTGTCGGGCAATAATGAAACTCAATTTCTACAGGACTCTGAGGGGAGAGGGACCATCCATTACGGAAAAAACAATTGCTCACAGGACAAAACCACCTCTGGAATCTCCCAGCAGGTTTGACCTCCCTGTTAAAATTCTAAAAATTGCCTTTAAATGCCCAAACTTTGTGTTTTTCCACCCTGGATGTTTGGAGGTGCCATAAATCAAAGGAATAGGATTAAGGGGCCGACAAAGCATCGGCGGGAGAAAATATTCCTGCACAAAATTACCTCGGCCTCAGTCAAGAATGCCACTTTTTAAACGAAGGGATTTAAAGATTATGAGAGGATTTGTATCCATCTGTCACTTTTGGCCTCCTTTCATTTTGTAAAGCTTCCTTAGTCAAACCTCAAATCTTGCCAGCGTTGGCTGTTTTCAGACGGATTCGTTTTATTTGGGTGCTCCGAGGGATTGATTTCCTGAAGGGAAAAGATTCCCAGAGAGGCACTGGGATGTTGAGCCCACGGAAGCTGAGTTTTATTAATATTGAATCTCGTCAGAAAGGCCAAATCAACCTGCAAAATTGTGCCAAAGCCCAAGGCATTTTAGGGCAGTTCTGTTTGATTCTGGGCAAAGGGATGCAACTGGATTCTACCCCCTTTGGGAGACACTCCTGGGAGAATGGAGCGAGCTGGGGTTGCAAACTCTTGGAAAATGGCCCTTCCAAGAGGGATGGGAAAGGTTTCCTGGACGGAAAAGGTGTGGAAATGCTCCTGTACATGCAGCTACTGACCCCTGGATCACCTTAAACATCTCCCTTTCCAGTTCCCCCAGCTGACGTGTGGCAGAATTCCACGTGATTGCTGAAATGAAACCCTTGACAACACACTCCAGGGTGGGTTTGGTTGATCCCTCAACTAATTCCCTTTCACCACAAGCACTTCATTTTCCCAATTTGGATTTTGAAAGACTGTTTCTTTCGTTTTTCCTGTCCCACCAGCAGCTGGAGTTTCTCCCTGAGTTGATTTTGGTGTGGAAAAAGGCCAATAAAAGGAAAATGCCCCCTCCCCAAGAGCTGACTGGTTGGAGCACCTGGGATCACCCACAGCTGCTCAGTTCTATTTAACTGCCCATTTTCTGTGCTTTGCTCACAATCACATCTTGTTTCAAGAGCAGGGAGCACTATTTCTGCCTTTCTAGTAAACAAGTGCCATGATTAGGATGATGACAGGGCTCCCTCACCGTGTTTTCATCTCTAGAGGTGTCTCCACCTGACTGGGAAGCTGAAATTTGGGGGGTTTTATTTACAGCTCTGCTGTCTCTCCCTTCTGAATGTGTGTAAATGCTGGGACTTTCCTAAACCAGTTATTTCTGTGGCTTCTCATTTGCACCTGATTATTTATTGTGTGACAGAAATCCCCAAATATGGGTTTCAAGCAATTTTAATCTTAATTTTCGCTGTACGTAGTTTTCCATAGAGGAAAAAGCTTTTTTTTCCTTCTGACAGGAGTCAGTGATTTCCTCCATTTCATTTTCTCCTTCCTAACAAAATCCCATCCATCAAAATATCTGGAGAGCTGGAGTGACCAAACCAGGGGACAAGATTCACACGACTCACCGGACTGGGAAATTCTGCGTGAAAAGACATAAAGAGAAGCAACAACTTTGGAAGCTGATTTTTTTTATGCATCATTAAAAACAGGCCCATGTGTGATTAAGGAGATGTTCTGCACCCTCATTTTAACTCTTGATTTTGAGAACTTGGGTGACTCTGAGCTCCTTCTGTCTGCAAAGGCAGCACCCGGGGCTCCAGAGCACCTCAGATCACAGGAGTTGAGGGAACCAGCCTTATTTATTGGGTTAATGAGGGGATATCATCAATAAAGAGACAGAGCTTTGTAATTACTTGACTCCAGCAGAGCTCCCAGCCCCGTGAGCACCCTGTGAGCTCCATCTGCAAAGGGTATTTGGAGCTGCTCGAGCGCCCTCGAGATCAAAGGAGGTCCAAGAGAACCTCACTGCTGGTGAGTGGGAGGCTGAGGAGGAGCCTGAACAAAGCTGATAAGTAGTTGGAGCATCTTAAGCACTTCAGGGCACTGCAGTGTGAGTAGAAATCATAGAATAAAGTACCAGCAGCTTGGCAGGGCTGGGTCTGCCAGAGCTGGGAGTGACGAGGGACTCGGATGGTGGCAAATTCATCAGGGTGCAGAAACCAACCCAGAGGGATCCACAGGGCAGTGTCTGCAAAAACCATCTAAGGAGGGTGAAAAACCATCTAAATAGAGTGAAAACCCATCTAAACAGGGTGAAAAACCCAGTTATGAGTTCAAGGCTCCTGCCTAAAGCAGCTGGGAGGAAAACCTGGAGCCGAGCTCAGCACAGTTCCCCAAGGGCACCAGGGGAGGGATGGAGCAAGGAAGTGCCACCAGGGATAAGAAAGAACTCCAAAGTGGGGTCATACTAAGTATAAACCCTCTTTTTGTACTACAAGGCTGCCTGAGGCTGGTGGTTGGTGGGGCTGTGGATGAAAGGAGATGGTGAGTTCCAGCCCTCAGCCACGAGTGGAGAACAAAGAACAGGATCTTTCAGATCTCCATACACACCTCCAGCCCAACTCCTTGCCAGGAATATTAATTCAGCAGTAAAATCATGAACTGCTCTGTCTGCTTGATTCTTTCTTTGCAAGGTTGCAAGTTAATAATTTATTTAAACACTAAGAAACTCGGTAAAATTCAGGGCATACAGCATTTATTGGGGGCTATTTTGGAAAATCAGTGAAAAGCATCAAGAGTGTGTTTTTTCCTTGTAACTGTAAAGGAGTCCCTGCATCAGGACAACTCTGAAGGATCTAAAAGCTGGAAGAGATTTCTACCTACTAGAGAACAACATGCTAGTAAAAAGGAAATATCAAAGCTGAAAACCCCTGGAACTGCACTGTTAAAATGCCTCCAAACCACACAAACTACCTGGGTTTTACTGTCCACGTGCATCGTGGACATTTCAAATCAGGTTCTGGGACCAGCCAGCACACTCTGAGCTGGGAAAGCCCAAAAATAAGTTAGTTGTGAAGGAGAAAAGAGCAAAAAAGCAGAGACAATAAGGAGGCACAGGCAGATCAATCACCATCAGTGCCCAGAGGACAAAGTGCTGGGAGAAGAAGAAGTGTCCTCTCAGTTGGTTGACACTCCATCACTCAAGGGGAACATTTTCTATCTCAGCCTGAGGAGGAAGAAATATTTCACTGAGTCACCTCATACCTGTGAGGACAAAGTTCAACCTTCCAGCACGGGGTTGTTTGGGGAGAGACTGAGCTGAGCAGCTTTCTTGCTGCAGGAAAATGTAACTTCCAAAGGGACACGGCCGTACCTGCTTCGTCGTAGGACACAGTCAGCTTTTCCAGCATCTCCCGGTCGATGGATAAGATCTGCTGCTCCAGGATGGTCTGGTAGGACAGGACACTGTTCTCCTTGTCCTTCTCATAGTCTTGGAGGTGCTGCTTCAGGACCTCGGGCAGGCGGGACTTCACGTACTCTGCCGCCGACTGGCGAGAGAAGAGGCAAAGCTTTAATTAGTTCCTATTTATTAATTAGAGTCAGGGATACATAATGGACCGAATTCCCCTGAGGTAGGACACAACCCACCCTCCAGCAGGGAGTTTGGGGCAGTCCAGAGTCACCCACACCCCCCCCAGCAGCTCGACTTCGGCGCTGAGGTATTTGGAAAACAAAACCACGAAATCCAACGTCTTTATTCCGAATTTTAAAGCACAAAGTGCATCCACTGGCAGAAAACTGTCAGAATTTCTCTCTCTGACTGCTCGAGGCCACGAGGAGACAGCAGCTGACACAAGGTGGCATGGTTGTACTGGTGTTACACAGCCTGGTGTAACAATGTAGTAAGGTAGTAGTAACAAGGAGAGCATCTGCCCCTGCAGAGGTGCCAGTTCCATCCCTCTGGAATTGGGCTCTGAGAGACCCCAACACACCCTGGCTTCCTGCTTTTCAGCACTACCACCCCTCTCCTGTGAGTATCACACTCCCACTGTAAGAGGGAATCGGAATTCCCTCCTTCTGGCACGGGTTGGAGTTGGTTTTGGAGCTGGAAAAGCAGGATGCAGCAAGGGATGCTGCTCCCTGCTCCAGCTTTCCTGCCAACCTCGAGAAAAAAGAGGAAAATAAATCATAGCAAGGTTGTTTTATTCCAGGCCTAGGACTGACCAGAAGTTACCTCTGCTCTCCAACAGGCTCTTCCTGGGGTTATGTTTACTTTTCCAAAGTCAATCACCGATTAAATTGCAACCTTAAAATATCCCTGAAGTTGTGTTCCATGTTTCTGCACGCTGAGCCATGTGAGACCGAGGGAATTATTCTGGGAAAACTAAAGGAACTCTCCACCTGAGTCCAGAGTAACTAATGTTACATTTTTATAGTTGTTTTCTTCCCTGGGAAGGCCAAAAGATACATTGGACAGCGATTAATTTAGCCCAAGTTCAGGCATTTGTGTGTCATCTTTGAGAAGAGGTTTGACTCTGAGGGGGGGGGATTTTTGTGCTCTCCCTAAGGGAGAATTTAGGAATTCTCAAGCAGAAGAAAAGCAGAATTGATGCACATTCATTTTCTGAAACACATCTTGTGCCAGTGAGTGAATGTTGGTACCATACAGGCCGTACACGTGGAGGGAAAAACACCCATCCTGTCCCAAAGACCTTGGGAAGTGGAAACCAGGAGACAGATGGGAAAACCATCGGGACCATCATCAAGTTTTTCCATAGGGATGACACCTATTCCAAGTGTGATCTCACAGGTGGGGGCTTTCCCCCCTCAGTGAGAAGCAAAACCCAACACTTGCTTAGCCCACGGCCTTTATCCTTGTGTGGAGATGTTATCGAAGATTTAAACTCCAAAGATTTAAACTCCTCTCCCTTTGGAGCAGGAAAGGGGCTCAGCCCTGTGGCAGTAATCCCATTCCAGCTGCACTGCAGGGACCAGATGGATTGTGCCACATCCTACTCGGGGCAAAAGCCATTTTATCTCAGTTTTTCAAAGTAACTGGATATTGAAAAAGAAATAATGTGAGGGGGTGAGTGCAGGTGTTCATCCAGAGAGTTGTGGATTCTCCATCCCTGGGAGTGTCCAAGGCCAGGCTGGACAGGACTTGGAGCAGCCTGGGCTAGGGGAAGGTGTCCCTGCCCATGGCAGGGGTTTGGAATGAGATGGGCTTTAAGGTCCCTCCAACCCAAACCAATCTGGGATTCTGTGATCGTGGTTTTAAAGAGACCAAGAAGCCAGCTGTGCCAGGTGAATGAAAATCAAACAGCACTTAAAAAAGGATGACTTCCCCCATTTCCAAGCTCTCCATCTCATCCCACAGACCACGAGACTCAACTTCTGACCAGGCCAGGAACTCCCTCCATGTGCCTCCCTCATGGATTTTGGTGCAGACCCATTTGTTGGGATGCTGCTCCTCCTCCAGCCAGTCCTGAGGTCCCCCTGCATTCCCAAAATCTCTTTTCATTAATCTATGGGTTTGTGTCACAGGCAGAAATCAAGGTGAAAAACCTATTTTTGAAGCTCCAGACCAGCTTTATCCTCTTTTCCTCTGTATGGTCCCTCTTACAGGAAGGAATTACAAATGCAGCTGCTCCTGGAAAACACCTGAGCTCAGGGATTAGATTTGTTGGGCATTCTCCCTCATCCCTGTGGGAAAACAACTCGGAGCTGTAGCCACTTCTTTTATAAATTGAAACTCCACCATCCCCCATGAATCTGCTTCCAGTCTGAAACACCCTCCTCCAAATTAAATACAGGATTGGCTTTAATACCTTAATTGACTTTAGGGTATTTTGTCCTACCATGGAAAATTAATATTTCATATGTAGAGAATATATTTCAAAATGTCTACATGCAATAAAATACACTTGAAAAGCTTATTCACAAAAAAAAAAAAAAAATTAAAAAAATCACATTTTACTCTGTGCACTAAAAAAAAATCCCTGATAAAAATCCCATCAGGAATTGCTGAAATCCCTCGTTCTGCAGCAAACTGAACCCCAAACACAGCCAGTGTCCTTCTGTCACCCTCCCCAAATCTGCTCACAGTTTTTAACTGCTGAGAAATCCTTACTCAAAGTAAATTTGCCTTTTATAAATTATGCCAACCACACGCTGAAATTTGTTCTGCTTCTCTCAAGTGGATCCTTCTGGGAGCCGCTTCGTACGTGGGGAAGGAAAGGTCTAAAATGGTTAACTAGAGGTTTCTTTATGAAGCTACTTCAAAAGTCAAGTGGTGGCTTGACAAAGCATCTCCTCACACACTTATTTGGGGGATTTTGGAAAGGTTTCCAACGTGCAGCAGAGTTTTGGTGGGTGGGAACCCACCATACCCAGCAGGGAGAGCTGCATCCTTCCTCATCCTCATCCTCTTCATGTTCCACAGGCTCACCACATCCCAAACCCTGACTTCACCAACCCACCTGACCTTTCAAATTCAAATTTCACCAAATCCTGCATGTTTTTGGCCCTTGAAACACTCAGACAGGTCTCATGAAATGGTGCTATTGGCTGATAAATGCCGGGGGAAAATGGAAGACCCTTTCCAAGAGGCAAAGCCCTGGGAATGCTGTTCACCCCGTGGTGGGGAGGGGGAGGAGGAGGGAGGCAGAACATAACCTAAATTACATGGTTCTCCACACAAATGCTCACACAGGGAAGAGATTCCCTCTGTGGGCACAAGTGGGAACATTCCAGGAGCGACCCGAGTGCTCCGTGACAAAATGTGTTAATTAGGATGAGGGTTAAGTGGCTCCACGACCCTGTGAAGCCAAACAAAGGCCATGGGAAGAGCAGAACACGGGCATGGGAAGCACCGAGGGACCAAAATTAGCTGGAACAGCCATTATTTACAGTCACACCATTCCAATTTAAGGAATGGAAGATGGAGACTTTGCTGCCTCAGACCAACTCTCGGCACCGACTCCCAGGAGTTACAGGGGGAGGAGGGACCCCACAGATTTATGATCTTAATGTTCTTGAGACAATTAATTCTCCCTGCCCAGCTGCTGCAAACATTCAGGGAGCAGGGGAAATACAGGATCCAGTTTGTAGTGTGGCACTGGGGTGTAGCTCCCACACCAAGATCCCTCTGTCACATCTCACTCCCCCTGTTTTCCACAGGTTTCCTTTCCCTCCAAAGACATGTGGGTCACTGCAAGTTTCCTTCTTCAGAGATGATGATCATCATTCTTCCAGATGATCCCTGGAAGTGGATCCAAGGCCAGGTTGGACAGGACTTGGAGCAACTGGGATACTGGAAGGTGTCCCTGCCCATGGCAGAGGGTGGGGCTGGATGGGTTTTAAGGTCCTTTCCAACCCAAACCATTCCAGGATTTTATAAATAGCGACCATGCAAAGATGTCTCTTTTGGATATTACTGGTTATGTATTTCAGAGCACCCCAAAAACCAGTTTGGGTGTGGAATGTTCCAGCACTGAGAAGCCCCCTAAAATAAGGAAGTCAAAAGACAGCTTGTGTGAAGGTGAAGATTAATTCTTCAAGGAGAAAACAACATAATAAAGACAAAAGACTTCAAAGGAAGAACAATTCTGAGGCTTGACAGTACAAAAGGTCCAACAGTTGCAAGTCCAAGGAGAAAAGAAGATACAGGGAACAAACCTCAGAGAAATGATCTGAATGAAAACTATCCCAATGCATAAAAACCTGGAATTAACCTGGCTAAGTCATCTCCAGCTCACAGACACACAGACACAGTCAGAACACCACCCAAGTATGAAAGAACAACAAACACTGAGAAACAACTGGAGACTAAAGAGGAAAATGACCTGGAGCTGGGAAAGGCAGTCAGAAAAGGTTCTACAAATCCACGTGTAATAAGGAAAAATCCAGGTATTTGTACTGCTGAGTACAAGAACTATTGACAGGTGAGGCCATGGAAGTTCAATATTTAATGTACCACTCACTACCCCACCCTTGTTGGGTTCAACTGGCAGCTAAATCCGAGGCAAACAACCAAAATCCTGAGGCAGAACAGGGCAGGAACAGGTTGGGAAGTGCTTCTAAAGATATGATATTTTCCAGCTGGCTGGGACAGCTCAAATCCACTTGGGAATATGCAGGCAATGGGTGGAAATAATGTCTTTAAGGACCTCTACCACTGAGAATTCCCAGGGGATGCTGAGATGCTGTTTGGGAAGGGCAAATGTTGGGGCTCCTTTTAAAATGGTCTAAAGGGAGAAAGGCAGAATTCCAGGGCAATCAGCTGAACTTGGATGCCTAAAAAACCAGGAGAGCAGATCAAGGGATTTCTCCACACAGGATTTTGTGAGGCACAGAGAACAAAGTGGCT